GCTGCTACAATCCTATTTACTACTTTTACAGGCCAAGGGAAAATATCCATCTAGCTTTTGTAAGAATAATGTTTAGTAATATCTAGTTTATTATAAGAGTAGATAAGAGATTTAAAATAAATATGCAATATTCAAATCTGAGACCTTTTATAACAGCAATTTTATAGAAGTTTTTTTTACATAATATCTTACTAATATTTTTTTACCATTCAAATTATTTAACTTCCAGTATTTCACACTTTTGATAGTAAGGTAAAAATAGGTTTATAGTTGTGTACGTTTACTCATTATTAAGATTATTTTGTGGTATTAAAATTGAATCTTTTACACTCGGGAGGTGTGTTCAATATTTATTTATAGTGCAATAAAATATGGTTATTAGAGTTGAGACTAGCCAACACATTTTTGAATCTAATACAAAATTAAATAAGGACTTATAATAAAACTTATGTATTAAGTGTGTGATGAATATTCCATGTACTTACATTGAAGCAGCCAAAGAGTTAAACCCCATTACCTGTTAATCTGAGAAAATTTGTTATTGATTTGGTAAATAACACGTGGTAATTTAAGGCACTAAACAAAGTAAAATACCCCCGCCGCAGCAAACCTGCAGACTAAGCGAATTTCCATTTGACTGATTGGATTTACACTGAAATGTCTACTTACAAATATAACATTTATTCTTGATTTAAATAGAATTAGTTTAACAAGTACTTAGGTTTGCTGCATCAGGGAGGGTAAAACTGTTTTTTTTTTTTTTTTTTGTAAAATGTGAATAGTTAGTAAGAAATAAAAACATTTTCCAAATTTGATCAAGATATGTTCACAAACAAGCAAACTACAACAGTTTACTTATTCTCCATAAGAATAACATGGGAATTTTAAATTTACAATTTATTGGAATTTTCTCCATAACCATTAGGCGCATAATAACGCTTCAATATACTAAATTATTTGTTTTTTTAAGCTCTACAAAATGGTTTGGAAGGAAATTGCTAAATTTTATGTTTTTTGGGTCAAAAATGGGAAAAACCTATTTTTACCCCATAAAACCCCCCGTAAACCCCCGTTCCCATGGTCCGATCATGCTGGATTGCGAACTCGTTCGAATAAACGTACGTTTACACGTTTGTACCAAATTTCATCAAAATCGGATCATTTTTGCTCGAGTTATCGTGCTGACGGACACATATATATATATTTATAAATATATATATATATATATATATGAATTTGAACGGATGGTGTTTTTGGCCTCTAGGGACCTCAAAACGAAAAAAAAATCGGTCCCGCGTCCAGGTCTTACCATGAGTACTACGGTAATAGCTTATTCCCTATATGGGAAATTCGCTAAAAACTAACCTCAAATTTCAAAGCTTGTTATCCTCAATAGAAGCCTTTTTTAAAGTATTTCAAAGTCCATTTCGCTATTTCGAAGTTTTTATATAACTAGGTAACTGTACCTATTATCAGACAATAATTACATTCTGTCTATGTGGGTACAGAGTAAATTAAACTCTAGAAACTGGATACAGTAACACACACAAACTAGTGTCCTTCTTCCAGCCAAGCTCGGTACCCTAGTACATCCCGTGTTCCAAGGGCCAAGTCCAGCGTGTTGCAACAGAGTGGTGGACTCGGCCAAGGCTTGGGAAAGCACAACTGTAATTGGTTGTATTTCCGTTAGATATCCTCCGTGATTGTGATAATGTCAACAGTATTCTACTGTTACTGTGTTTATTGTATGCGGACTCTTAAAGGATTAGCTCAAATCCACTTGTTTTCACAAAGTAAGTGGTTAATTTTAAAGTTAACGAAATGAATAAGTAAAAAAAAACTTAGCTACAATTAAATTTATATTTGTAGCTAAGGCTATCTATTCACTAAAATTCAGCATTAATGCTGACTACACAGTATATACAGGATGTCCATAAAAACGTTTCAGGGCTTTGGGAAATGAATCCTCATACTAAAAGTAAAAAAAATTATGTTAAGGTATGTCCGAAAATGCATATTTACCCAGATATCCGCCAGTTTGTTTTTATACAAAGATATTTTTATCTGTGAAGTTTTTCATTCGATGATTATGAAATTTGGTAAGAATGTTATACACCATCGATAGTTTTGATCTTGATCTTGGTATTGTTTGATAGGGAAGAGAAAATGCAAAAAAAAGTATTTTTACATTGTTTCACAGAATTAGCCGTTTTTGAGTTATTTAAGTTATAAAAATTCGAACGGCCACCATTTCAAACGGACAAACTTTATTATTTTTTCTATAATAGGTATTGTGTATGTTAACATGCTTACCAAATTTCATAATCATCGAATAAAAAACTTCATAGATAAAAATAGTTTTGTATAAAAAACAAATTGGCGGATATCTGGGTAAATATGAATTTTCGGACATACCTTCACATTAACTTTTTCTTCCTTTTTTGTATGAGGATTCATTTCCCAAAGTTCTGAAACGTTTGTTATGGACACCGTGTATAAGTAACCAAGTGAAAATTGTATTAAAAATGTCCGTACTTCCAGAAGCTGTAGATCAACCAGCTGTAATCTGTAAATAAAAAAAAACCATCATGATTGTAATTCCACCATGATTACCCTGCGATATGTGAAATTATTGTACATGCGCGTGTAAAAGAATTTTGGCTTTAAAATAATTATCCTACTTACGTTGAGTGGCTTTTATAAAATGGCTTGCTTCAATGTAAACTTCATACGACTTGACACTTTACATTTCGATATTTAAAAAATATAGGCCTACAATCTTCACAAAGTAAGTGTCCAGCATAAACACGATTCTAAAATGATTGAGTTAGCTCACTGGTAAAGTATCGCTGCATTCTTGGAGTCCTTCGACATGCAAGTGATACCTCGGATGACTAACAACCTTGCTGACAACACCAGGCTGTTATCAGCTGGGATCTGGCGGGAACTGGCACACGAACAGCTGATCTTCCATTGTTGTGTTTGCATTTCAAGTGACGGAATTTCTAACGGGTTAAAATTAACAAAGGGCACATTTATTGACACAACTAGTGAAGTTAGATATTTCAACAATCTGAAAGGATTATTTTTCAGTTATTGTAATAACATTATAAATATATAATATTAATGTGCTTCGGGTTTCATTATTAATCTTTACAACTCTTTTAACTAAATCTCCTTGGTTCAGAATTGATCATTGATACTTTAACAGAGGATTAAATGTCTATGTTTTATTAAACAGATTTTATGATGTTTCCTCTAATGAACATTATAGTCACACAAATAGGTAAGAAAACCCGAAGTATTACTTGAATTACCTTATTTTTACTGTTCAGTATATTTTACTCTTGTATTCTTGAATCACAAGTGTAATATAAACATTACAGATCGCCTCGTCTAGAAGTGATAAATAATAAGTCCAACTAAAGACTCAATTCAATTCTAGATTTTCACTCTTTTAAATCTTTGCCAGACAACAACAAACTGTAATAACTCATGAAGTCGATAGCTCAAGTTTTTAAGTGAATGACTCAAAAATTGTTTTCAACTCACAAAAAGGTTTTAGAGCTATTGGAACCCAGAAACAAATCGAATTGCGACGAAATAACGTCATTCATACTTTGTTAAGGGAAGAAATGACACTGGATTGAATGTATTGTTGTGCCTCTCAGTACTTAATCAGTTTAGACCACTAAAGATATCTGATTCAAAGGAACTTTCTCGAATCTTCATAATTTGTTATCGAATGTTTTCACTTTGCAAGTTTCATGTTAGGATATTTTACCATAATTATTTAAAGAATAAAGAATAATTGAGTTCTATTTTGCACTGTTTTTTTATATAAAAAAGCAGAATTTGTCAATTAATTATTATTGTCTGTTAACATAAATAAAAAAAACTAGTATAAATTTTGTTTTAATTCATAAAAGATTTAATTGGATTGCATCCTGTGTTGATCGTTTGCATAGAATCATTAAGAATTCCCTTAAACTTAAATAGGTAACTGTTTCATTTTAGTAGACCATACTAAATTGTTTTCATAAAACATAATCTGTATTAGTTTACTTATTATAGAAAAAAATCAGATTGATATTTTTTTAAACAATGTTTCAGCAATTTTACTACCAAAGGTTACTGAACTTTTAATGCATCAATTAAACTGTTAATACAGTCATTATATCAATCACGTGATACTTAACCCTCGCTTTATTCGTCGTCATTATTGTTTATTCATATTTGGACACGATGATATATTATTGCATTATGTTATGAATTTACTTTAATACATTGTGGTTTTGTGTTTAATATGACAAAAGTATACGTTAATTATATTGTTTTTTATTTATAAAGCTTATCATTGAAAGAGTTTGTGATGTAAACAATATAAAGTACTTACCCTTTCCAGTTTTTGTACTTGAAAAATATTCACGTAGTAGCCAATTTATAATATTCATAACATATTCAGTGCTAAATCCAAAGTGATAAAAAAATTAGGCTTTTCATGCTATGAAATCGTATTAATTATTGAAACTGTTCAACTACAACGGGAAAACTATCAGAATATTAAAATCTATATCACACATTTTGTAAAACAATCGTGTACTATGAGATGTTTTCACAGATTATTACGAAATCAGTTGTATTCTTAGTTACTTTTTGTATAATAATTTTAAAAATAAATATTTGATGAAATAAGCAAATATTGATGTTTTCGTTATTTTACGAAATTGTCTATCAAATAACTTTAAAAGCCTCAGAAAGAATCTTAGTAATAAAATTTACAAATTGACTAAAACAAAACCTATAGCGAATAATTTGACAGTATTTCAGCCTTGTATATTTCCTTCAACTGCCCAATTTCTCGAATGTTTTCGAACATTAATTAATTTTGAGTAATTACCTATTAACAAGAGAAGTTACTGCCTGTTGTGAGGGAGGGGGCAAGGCTGAGATGTAAGTATATATAGCTGTCTGTCTCTACTTCCCAACTATCCACTACGATGTTGACTATCGTGAGTATTGCATTACATATAATATTAACAGATGATAGTGGAAATAAATAATTTATTTTATGTCTCGTAGTTAGTTGGTAAAATGTATCTCGATGAAATTATATGTAGCCAATAAATTTTCGTTAAACTATTGAAAAGCTATGTTTTCCAAAATTTGTTGTTTAAGTAAAATTAAACAACAAATAGTGTTTTTCAACATTATTGGCATGAATTGTTTTTAATTTCTTTCATATCTCTTAAAATAATTGAATTAATAAAAAAAAATTATTTATTCCTAAAGCAATAATTGTCATAAATATCTAATTGAGGCTTGTTTTTTCTCTATCACAAGAGTTCATCTGTCATATTTATTTATCGGATAATTCTGTTAATGTATAGGTTTTATGGGAATATCACCCTTAAAAATCAAAATTTCTACAAGTACCTGGTGATACCATGGATTAGTACCCACGTATGCCTACTAAATGAAATAGTTGGGACACATACGAGAATATATGCTCATATATATACTTTAAAAACAGCTTTATACCTACAGAAGGGTCTAAAAATAATATTTATACTCAAAGCTCAAAATTGTAAACTTTGAAGAAATTGACAGATATGTATTAAAAGGATGTACATTTCGGATACTCGTGGTTACAGTCCTTTAAACCACGTTCTCACGGGTTTCTTTATGTTTTTTAATGTATGTACCTTTGTTTTTACCAAACAATATACCTACAAACAATAATTCTCAATTAACTTAAATGTGGATATACCCTAAAAATATATTACTAATTGCCATAGATTGTTAATTGAAATGGATGAGATTAAAATATCTAAAAATGTAATGCAAGGAGATATAATAAATAACAAACAAGATAACACATTTAAAACCCCTCAAATACTCAGTCGCACCTGAGGTCAAAGTACCACATAAGGTTGAAGATGCGATTACGTGTTATTTTTAACCTGAAATAAGAATTGGAGAACCAAACATGTCTGGGAAGTCAACTACCTCACTAACCTTCCTACCTCTACTTACACTTCCCTTCCAACCGAGACCCAATCATACAGATTTAACACATTGTCTGTTTGTGTAAAGATTGTTCTAAAAATATCCCTACATTATGACAAATATATAATGTTTTAAAAATTTGTCTAAACTTATAAACTAACGGGTTGTATTCCTTGCATATTTTTTTGAAGCATTTGCCTTCATATTTTTGTTTTGAACTGTACACAAATACTTGTATGTATAATTTTAACAATACAATATTAATAGGGAGGATAAATTTAATTATTTGTGAATATGGTTATATTGCTTTGAATATTTAAAGCATGTTTGTACTTGTAAATGAGCTTTCTAATATATCGTTTTATTTAGTTGGATTTTTTTTTTCAAAGTAATTGTTACTTAGTGATGTTGTAAAGTTATTGTTAGGGGTTTTCTGGTGCCTACAAATTATTTTATTTGTGTTAGGTTTGATTTTTTATTTATGCCTATTCATTGGACTAAATGAAGTAATATTTTCCGCTTTTCCTACAAGCAATAAACAGGATTTAAAATGTAATCTAACTATCCTTATATTTGCACAAGTTAAACAATTTAATAATAACACATAGTGTAGTGTCTTACTTAGTACAATTAGTTATTAACTTAGTCTTTAGAAATGTACAAAAATTGCATACTTGATTCCAAAGTATATAGACGATTTTATGTAGTTTAAACATACTAATGTTAGCCAAATGTATAAAGCACTATATTTTCCAAAAACGTATTAAAATTACATTTATGAATCAATAAATTTAATTATTTAATGAACCTGGCTTATGAAACAAATATAGATGCTAAATAGATAACACCTTGTAGAATATCTTGTACTTCCATTATAGAACTCAAAAGGAATATTTATTTAGTAAAAATAAATCTTTCTGACATTGAAATCAAACTAATAAGCATAAACAAGACAGTAGGTAAATATAAAACACACAATGTGCTGCTTGTTTCATCACAAGAATCCTTGGTATTCCTTCAAGCGTGAAAGTCTTTGTTTCTTTTACTGTTAATTTAATGTGTGACCTCCATTTTTACTTTCACTCCTATAAACTGCTCTTTTATTTGGGCCCAATGTTATGTAATAGCCACGCATTTGATTGTTTAATTACTGGCTTAATGTTACTTGTATTCATATATCTGGTGATGGCTTTAAGCATTGTCTTCATAGTTATGGCTTATATGATAATTTTATGTTTGTGACATAATTCTCAGTTTATTTATAATGACTTTTTTCAGGCTCGAGTTAAAATTCCCCCTAATCACCTATATCATTGTAAACAGGCCCTCCAATCTCAGGGATTTAAACTATAAATGATTAGGTGCTAAAGTTAAGAAGGGTATTACAGCAAGTAATATTAATAATAGACTTAAAAAAGTAATTTATTATTTGGGAAACAGTCGAAAATAAAACTTTAATCCTGAAATCACGGCTATATTCAGAATGATTTTATTTCTAAACCCAGACTTCAAACATGTTATGTCACAAACTCAAAAAAGTACATGTATTCTTATAGCTTGAAACAATTCAATGTAACCACCCGTTCTGTTCCAGGCTCTGCTTCTATCCGTAGTCGCCGCTACCCAGGCTGGGTACGCCAGTGTGTACCCGTACTCATACGCCTCTCCTTACAACTCCTACCTGGACTCCTACCCCGTGGTCAAGGCGGTTGCCCCCGTGGCTACCTCCTATAGCCATGTCTACAAAGCAGCCACCCCTAGCTACCCAGTCATCAAGAGCTACGCCCCTGTGGCCTACCATTCCCCCTTGGCTTACAGCGCTCCGTACAAATCATACCCTGTGGCATACTCACCCTACAAGAGCTACTACGGATCCTACGGTCACGGCCTGGACTACTACGGTGGACTGAACGATTACGGATACGGCCACGGACTGGGCTACGGATACGGTAGTGGACTCGGTTACGGATACGGTAGTGGACTCGGTTACGGATACGGTGGATACCTGCATTAGTAAATAGAATAATTGAATCAAGGCTGTGTGCTGTACAACACCAAATAATGTAATAAATGAATTTTTACAAGCACACGTTTGTTTGTTCCTTTGAATGAGTAATTTTTTGGGACCTAATCACTTAACAGCACCAACATAAGGTAGGACAACCTCTGTTTGAAAAAACAATAATTTAAAACACTTGAAAAACTTTTGTTGATATTTTGCCTTATGTAACTAAATTGTGGTGTTTTACCAAACATTTTAAATCTAGGCTACAGATTTAATATGTAAGTCCTTATAGGTTTGGAAAATCTGTAACTTAAGAACCAAATCCAAGAGCACACCGAGATGTTTTAAAATAGTTTTAGACATGAGTTATTTTAGTTATGTATATGCTTGGTGATTGCGTGTGAATATTGAGGCCATACTACAATTATAAGCAACACCGAGAGGTTAAATAACAACGAATCTTGTAATTTAAAAAGTTTGACATAGATTTACTGTATGCTGAATGGGAAAAATGAAAAAAAAACATGAATAAACATTTCAACTTTAGTGATATTACTAAACGGTTGTGGATTCAGATTTCTAGCGAGATTGATTTCAAACTGTTGACTTTGATAAATTTTATATGTAATTTATTTGTCATCTCTGGTTAAATATAAGTATCTCTTAGAGAACATAGGAGGTGTCTTATTTCCAACACATGTTACAGAAACTACATAGTAGTTTTTTTTTTTTCTCAGGACGTACAAAATGATTTGGAAATGTTTAGCTTTTTGTCTGGAACATATTATAAAAAAACTACAGCTTGATTGCATAAAGGCAATGCCGGAACAGTCTCCACTTTAGTGAGCTTTACTTTAATCTGCCCGCATTACATCTGATGGCTTTGAACCATAATTAAATAATGCTTTGCACAAGAAACTCTATGACGGGCATAGTTTTTTTTAGTAAAAGCCTGTTGTCCATTAATAATAAAATAGCATAGGCTGAATACCAAAACTGCGTTTTTCTTCAGTTTTATAGTAAAATGAGAGGATGTATATTGGAATATTACTAGCAGGATCGGTCTTATGGTAATTTTGTTAGAGTTGGTAATGGAATGAAATTAAATTAATGATAAGATAAAATGATCTATGGTAATACTATGGATTACAAGAGTAGACTCTACTACCCCTTTAATCTATGGCAATACTATCAAGCTTGGTGCTTTGAGAATCATACCTATAATAAATAGGCAAATTTGAGGGAATCAGTTTGGCTCACAGTTTATAAATACTTAATTTATTTATTGGTTTTCCTTTTACAAAATGTAAGAAACTTATAGTAATTATAATTCATTGCCCTGGTAAAACAATATCAACCAATTTATATTTAGTCATACTGTGGTAGAGGTTTTCGTTACAAAATGTTTATATTGTTTTGCAGAGGATGGCTACCCAAGCAGTTCTTGTTCACATTTTCAATTTATTTAAGAGTTATTTCTTTGTTTTGTACCAATTCCTTACAAATAACCTCACTTATAAAACGCATAACAGCAATTGTGTAAAATATTTAATTCTTTATCGTTTCTCAAAATGTTTTCAAGTCTACCGAATATTCTATTTACATTCGCCAGAGAAGCGTTTCTCCCTCAAAGGGATATAGGTTATTGAACCCGTAAAATTTGAAATCGGTCTAGCTTTGATCCTAAATCACAGATCAAACTGCCATTTCCAAACACTGCCTCCAACACACTCCTGCCCCCAAGCAGACCTTTTGTGGCCGTAAATTAACTATTAATTAGGACTAGCACTATTGTTTGGACACTATAAGTCAATTAATTTACATGCAGATAATTTTCAAATTGGTTTTATGGTCACAATTGTATGGCTTTATTATTTTCTATAGCTGCAAAAGATATTTGAACGTTTAATTTGGGTTTCTGGTAAAAACATACAAGCAACTACCTAGAAGAAGCTATTCTCCTATATTTGTTTATGTTTGTTTTTCACGTTGCCATATTTACTACAGTAATGCCGAGATAAATCAATTTCCTATGTAAAGGAAATATTGAAACTTCTATACAATGCTCTTATACTCTCTATTATAGTATTAATAGTATGTGTTTAAACGCCACAGGATGATTTGTTAATTTTTTACTATCGTAAATACGTCTGATGTCCACTACTTCTTAGGGTGATCCATGATTTTTTATCATGACTTACAAATCATTGTATAATATACATTGTTACAGTAAAGAATTGAGTGTTTGCACATCTTTATTTAAAAATATCATCACGAACGATAAATCCATAATCGATTATGTTGCATCCTAAATTCGTGCTTAAAATGGTATTTCCTAAATTAAAAACAACCGATAATTATACGTAACTTTTATGAACTCTTTTTAGTTCCCAAAGCATAGTATATTGTTAAACAAGAGACATACATTTCTTTGCTACTGTGATGTTTCAACTTAGATACCTAAAGACAAGATACTTTCGACGTCATTATTTTTCTACAACAGGTTTAAGAGATGAATATTAAAACAGTAAAAAAATGTTCTCAAATCTATTTTAGACCACTTATAAATTATTTCTTAGACAATCAAAAATGCACACACAATCTCAGTTATCTTAGCTTTTGTTTCCTAGTTCTTCTACGCACAGACAGGAGATTTTGACAGGATATGAAGTATGAAGGTGAAATCGTGAGAGGGCGAGAGTTGGTTGTTGGTAGTTCGATGATTATTTTCGGTCAAAGGGCAGACAGGAAGACAGACTATGAAATCATAACTCTATTGATTGTGGGTTGCCATTGTTGCCAACTTGCCCAACTAAGTAATTTGGGTGCTTACTGAAATAGCATGCATTTTAATAGCACTGGCCCTGTTAAATTATCTTGAGTCAGGCGTTCTGTAGTGTGATAAGACATACTTAACTCTCCAAAGTAATGCATTGTACGCTGCTAGTGGGAGCTCTACAAGTTGAGAAATACGAAGAAATATTATAGTTATCGATGATTATTGATTACTTTGTGACAGCGATATATCTGTTAGTTAGCACTGTTATTTACTTTGCAAATGGTTGCATTTATATAAGTTGATAAGCACTCTCAAATCAAGCAAAAGTAAATATAGCGCGTTTAGTAGTGCTACAGTTCCATTAGGTCACTGTGTTATAAATGAAGATTTACTCTCAGTTGTCAAGTGTTCTCTTAAAACAGTTAACTTACCTTGTCAATATAAGAACAGTTATTGCATTCAATTAGCTGTGAGCAGAACTTATATTTTATCAATGTATACTTATATTAAATAACTAAAGGAAGTCGTAAGGAAAACCCGTGGATAAAAACAAATAACCACTGATCTTTGTTATTAAATACCACAAAAAGACACATATACGGTGCAGGGATTCTGTTTATCTAAACACACACTACTGTGTTGATTCAATCGACTAATCGCGATGTTTTCTCTTTTAATTATTTCCAGTATCTTTTAGCAAAATTATACCCAATTTTTAAGGATCTTGAGATAATAAAACTTTAACAGCACCAAATCTTGTAATATGTTTTATTATTTCAAACTGTTCATTATTCTTCACCAGGGGCCTATTTATTAATTACGAAAAATTCTCTAATTATGTAAATCTTTCAATCTGACGTCACCATTGATATCTTTTAATATGTTATTCGTGGAGAAGTGAGTTATTTATTATGTATATATATTTATTATGTATGTGATAAAAGGGATGTGCAAACAAAATACAAAACGCAAGTAACCATTTTGAGATGTTCTTTTAGACAGCTATTAACCTTCTGATTTATAACTTTGATTAAGCTTTTATATGAACTAGTGGTCATCCTGTGGTCGAAACTCGACCAAAAATAATTCATGTAGGCCTACAGACTTCTCTATTTTCTCTCCACACTGTTAATAAAACATGTGATTGGAATTTCTTCCATTTGTTTTGATTTTCTGTTTACATTTTTTTGTTATTTTGTCACCATCATGGCAACCCATATGGTCCATGTTAATTTTTTTAAAGTTTTCAGATTAACTTTTTGTGCTTATTTTTTAACCTATTTTAATTTTTAAAGGGATTTTGCACATCTACAGGCAAATATCTTTCTAACAGTATGCGTAGATTTTTCCTGTGATGCACACAAGCTGAGAAAAAAGGTTTTAAAGAAACATGCTTGCCTATTAATATATAGATTCCAACTTACTACTCTTGTCGTTTAACATTTTGTATAATAAATAAATTCAATATTTATGCAGATAATAGAAATCACGTCAGAGTTTAAAAATTCTGAATGTTTTGATTTGTGCGATCATAAAATATTTCACTCTTAGAATTTTAACTACAAATTAATGTGTCCTAACCATTCAGTTTTATGCTTGAAAAATTGTATATTTCATGATTTCAAAATTTATTATATCTTTCACCTAATACTTTTGGCTAAAAATACACATAAAATGGATAGGAGGTTGACTGAATGTAGTTGTTTTTCAAAAACGTAGTGTGTGACTAATAAAATTATAAAATAAGCACTACATATAACAATTTTATAACAAGTAATTGGTTATAACAGTGTAAAACTGTACTAAATAAGAAATGAGGAAACTGAAAACCACTTCATTCGTTGAACAGATTTATTAAAATATAAACCCAGCCAACTCTTTCATTTTGTATAAAAATAATTTCCTAAGGTGGATTTTGGTTTAGTGGTAGTATCCGTAGCCGTAAGCCTTGCCGTATCCATAAGCGGGGGCGGCGTAACCGTAGCTCAGGGGAGCGTGAGCGGGGGCAACAACGGCGGGGGCGTAAGCCTTGTAAGCGGGGGCGACGACAGCGGGGGCGTAGGCAGGAGCGTAGGCGGGTGCGGCGTAGGCCTTGACTACGGGGGCGACGGGAGCGTAGGCGGGGGCGTAGGCAGGGGCGTAAGCCTTGTATGCGGGGGCGGCGACGACGGGAGCATGGGCAGCGTAGACGGCGGGAGCGTGGACGGAGGTGGAGACCTTGTAGGTGTTAGCGTATGAGGTGGCCACGGGGGCGTGAGCCACGGCTACGGGAGCGTGGGCGTAGGCCAGGGGAGCCACGGGGGCGTAGGCCGAAGCCGAGGCGATGAAGAGGGCGATCAAAGCCTGAAAAATAAAATAAGTTAGAACTAATCCAGAGTGAACAACCCTTTTTCATATAAAATCCTAAACAAGATTATTGTCCCAACTCCGACAAAAAAATGTCTTTAATACATTGTTCAAGCATGTACATTTCTGGTTTTATCTTGGCTGGTTTCCTGTACACCACAACTCCAAGTGAGTTTAATATTTCTGTGCCGGCATTTTGGAAGCGTCTGGTCACATTGTCCAAACATGTAACTAGCTATATGATTTACTTAATGTTGTATTGACGATATCATTCTGGAGCTAGAGAGTTCTGCGTATTAAAAAATTATGTACCTTCAACATGTATTATGAGGATATTAAGCCCTAACTATGTTATACCCAATTAAATTATTTGAAGTCTAGGACCTTATATCGAACGATGTAAATATAAAATCCTGTGAATAACAGAAGAAGGTAAAACTTATACATAGTCAATCATTTTTGTAATACCAGGTACTGTAAGAGATTAGGTAATGTAAGAGATAAATTTAAGAGTAAGAGTGTATACTAATTGATTTTTTTTTATAAAAACAAATTATATTTACAGTAGGATGTATAGTTAAGGTTTAACATTCACAATTTAAAATTTATTTCAAACGATAATATGCTGAATGCACATATTGGATATCATGAAAGGGAATGATGACTAAAGTACAATTTATGAACCTTTGAGGCACCCGTGTGTGCAAGTGTAGGTATATTATTACAGAAGCAGTAGGCTGTAGTAATATTGTGGGAGTAGAAATGTCTTTAAATTTGACTATTATGAATACTATTACATAAAATCTTTTGAACTCATTACAATCAAATATAGTGAATTAATGGTCGATTCTCTGTGATTATATACATGAGATTCTATATATTGGACATTTTATTTAGGCTTGATTAAATAGTAATATTTCCCACGGTAAATAGATGTTTAACAATCGATGGAAAAGCTTTACGTTACATTAATGTCCATTTTTCCCTTAATCTTTTTGTGGTAAAGAATCGTAAATGTTTAAATTTTCAAATTAACAAAGATTTTCATTTGTTAAGGAAGCACAGATACAATCAAAATGCAATCAAAATAGTAATTTAAAACATTGAAATACTTTGATAAAATTAATTAATACCTGTTCGATTTAGCATAGTGTAAAAAAGAAATTAGTGAATAAAAAATTAAATACTATATCCAATCATAAACTAAAAGGACACACTTATGACAAAAAAATAATAACCATTGTTAAAATGTTAAAATACTGTACTAGTAAACTCCGTAAAGTATAATTGACTAGGGTATGGTCAAATTATCCTATTTAAGCTGGATTTATGTTGATTTATGAAATAAATGTGACGAAATAGTCGATATAATGTAACAAACAGTTGACTGTTGGCTCTACTGTATGGCCCATTTTAAAATACCGATATTAATTTTTTTTTTCGATTAATTAATTTAGCTAACCAATGTCCAAGATAAGTTCAACATCCGGATTTTTTAGGGCAAAAACTCAAAATACCTAAAATTAAGTTAATTGTAAATGCAAATTTGTTTAGGAATTATTTCTTTTAACTGTATAAAATTTCAAATCCACCCCAGTCTCACAATTTCTTAACAACCTTAAGGGATGACATTTATTTTAATTACAATCTGTTATGCAAAAAGAAAACAAAACATGTCTACACCTTCAATTAAACGCATATCCATTTACCGTTTTATCAAAACCGAATTGATTCCAATTATTTCAACCCTATACAACAATAACCCGCCTCTGCTCCCCTAAAAATTAATTAGAACAAATAAAATAAACAGAGTTATTTATCCAAATATAATTTTATGGAAAAAATTTTAAATTTTAAATTTTTCCAACCTCTACTAGTCTAAGCACATTGGTGTGGGTATCTACTTACAAGCTTGTACATGGTGGTTGTGTGGTGGTGTGAGTGAAGTGTAAGGTCCTCGTGGGGCTTATATACCTGGCACGGCTAGCCTAGGTCACGGCCTTCTCTAAGTTGCTTCCTACTCCAGTTGGCGGGTGCTGCCCCCTAGTGGCTGCCAACGGGAAATTGGAGTACAACTGTACATATAAAATTTGTTTACATTATATCATTAAATATTTTCAAAACACTTTTTCCCAAGATGTATTTATCCCAAGAATGTGCATGAGGGAGGCTTCTTGGTTTTCTCTCTGCAACTTCCTTATAATAGATGAAAAAAAAACTATTTGGTTTGAAAGTATATTCTGCACATGTTTATATCCTCAAGTAGTCTCATAGAGTTCTTTTCTATCAAATCAGTAAAAAAAAGAACTTCTAATAATTTATGTACATATTTCCTTAGTTTTATTCAAGTACAATTGAGTGCGTCAGAGGTGTTGCAACTGATTTATAATATCACCCTGAACTAAAAGTGTGTATTAAGTATCATTAAGAAATAGACATATCCCTTTTTGAAATATAAAATTATCTAATTCGTGAATTGGAGTTTGACGCCATCATGTACAGCCCTCAAATACCCTTTATTACGCCAAATGTTACAGATTTATTTCATAGGTTGTAGCACAGAGAATTCATTACAATAATGTGGTTATACTTTAAATACATTGTAAATTAGGAGAAAATACTAAAAGTGGCCAGTCCAAGGTTTGACTTCACATTTAACTGCATCCATGCAACATAGTGAACAGTTGACATTTAAGTAATAATCATTATCAAAATTAGAAATTTTTAAATACTTTGACTTTGGAACAAACTTTTGATACACATTGCCTACGCAATCATCGAATTCGGACTGATAAGAAACTAGTCAGCCTCAACATCAATCATAAACAACACATGTGATTTACTACGCTCATAAAATCCCCGTGTGCATTCAAAACCACGTGCTATTGTTACTCGCTCATTTTCTGACCTCAGCTTCGCCTCGGTCGTAAATAAGAGTCACTTTAGGTCCTAGTGATGTAATATACTATTGACTGACGTTTAATAGTAACTAACGACAAAAAGTCCCTTTTTGCCCGAGTGGTGAACTATCTTTTTCGTCATATTGCATCATTAATTAACAAACAAAGCTAGAAAACGAAATAATTTTTATGTAAAGATAACCCCATCAAAACGACTTCCAGCTTGTTTTCAATTCTGCTCATGCAAATAAGCAGCTGTTTATTAAGTGATCCAATTATTTCGTCTATTGCGATTGTGTTACAGTACATTATACCATCGATATGTCTTGCAATCGCCAACAATAGGCTAAAATCTTATCTAATAAATCAATAAATAATTTCGATTGATATGATTATCACAATCAAAATTTACAACTGTTTACAACAGCTGATTTTTACTCCCAAGAGAGTAAAAATGCTACTTTAGACGCATGAGTTAAAACTGCTGTTTTTGCTGCAGTATGACGAAAACTTGTTTTAATTTTAGGGTTTCTATAAATAATGAAAAGCTGATCCTATAAATAAAACTGGAGAACAAAAGAACTGGCGGATGAATAAAATGTTAACTTTTTACTCCAATGACTATCGCCGTTTCACACTCAGTTAATCAGCGAGTGCAATGAACGATAACTGAAATGTCATGTTTTCAACGAAACAGCGGCGTGTTGTGCAATATTTAACTGAAAATATTTTGTACTATAGAAAGAATACCTATATTGTTGTATTTTTATTTATTTATTATGGTTTTAGACCTTTTTCGTTTAGTTAATTCTTCTGACCTGAAAGTACAAAAAATACGTAATCACCCATATGTAATAACCAATAAATGGGCTTCATTCGCTTATCTGATGATGATTGGACTGTCCAATCGAAATCGATTACCACTTACCATCTTTTATATGTATTTACCGTCTTGTAAGTAAACAGTATAAGTGTAAATATACTATTATAAGTGTTATTTGCTATTTTTTGTACTTTTAGGTAATTAAATAACACGTACGATGCTGATCAAGAAGTTATAAAATTCTTCTGAGGAACCAGGCTGAATCTTTATTTGTTTAAATAGTCGTGGTCATATGAATGATGGAAATAATATGATAATATAAAAAAACTACTGAACACTGATGTTTTGCTGTAATTTACGAAATATTAATCAAAACGGAAAAAATATCATATTGGTGAGTTGGTTATATAAAATTACTAAGTCAAAAGCACATAAATCAGCCAAATTGTTTTAGTTGAGCTAAATTTGTTTTAGCATAGTTTCTATACTCAACCAATCATTTTATAACAACATTTTACCTCCAATCATTGACTAAAACTGGACATCAAAAAACATTACACCCAACTTTCAGTCAAGTTTTCCTGGTGTACAACAAGCAATATCTCCCTGTAGTGATTTGGTTTTCCCGGAATGCTGTTCAAAGGCCTTTTGTTATGTTGTTTACTGACGTTTTTTCTATACTTTTGAATAGTGGAACTAATTTTGGTGGTTTCATTTACTACATGACGGCAGTGCTTTTTTAATCGATACTGTATCATCATTGGGTGTTGGGAGTTGACATGAATAATTACTTTACGCAATAACTGTTTAAAATGGTTTTTACGATGTGATTATGTAATTGGGATTTGTTAATTACCAATAAATGTTGTATTTTTAATTGTAGTCCAACAATTGAGGAAATGTCCTAAAGATCGATGAATGTAGGTCCCAAGTAAGTTTCTTTAGCAAGATCATTCAACCTCAAATACTAAACTATTCTTGCGTGAATGTCGAAGAACTCTTACATCAAGTAATCAAATAATAGTATTTATTTATTTTTTAAATAAATAATATTTAATAAATAATAATAATATTTATTTATACTTCGCCTAAATTAAATTTGTAAGGCTGCGTTACAAAAATTAATAAAATAGATATACAACTAAGCCTTGATTATAACTAGCTAATTCCGACAGGACTGCTAGTCAAAGTCTGCACAGCAAACCAATAAGATAAAATTTTTTAGTTTAATGTTATGAAATTATTAAGTGATCAAACTTTCCACATATTCATCATTTTTACATTTTTACTACATACAATTCGAACAACTCAACAAATTATTTTACATAGGGCCTGGTATTTCCTGTATAGGCCTACTGCCCGTCATCTCCGGCCGGACGTACGTCGCAGAACAGTAGGCAGTTACTAGACGGATCCAGAGGGGCGAGGCCCTGCCCGCGGGTCCGGAGGAGAAAGGAGTCACTGGAGGCGAAGGTCGAGGTTGTCCGACGACCTTGGCAAGTCGAGCCCCCCTGCGTCTCCTTCCACTGATACTCGTGGAAGTCACACGACACGGTTCCCTGTCCTGAGTGGTTTTTGCGAATGATTCCGGTAATATGTAGCCTATAAGAACTTCGATATTTTTGATTTAATAACATTTTGCTATTTCCATACCATAAAGAAATATTACTTATACAGTTGTGGGTTTGAATTGACAGCAAAATGCGAAGATGGTTTTAAGTTAAAGTGGTTTACCTTTATTTTAGTTAGGTTTGGATTCATTAAGATTCTTTATTGATCATTAAACACATACGGTGCAATATATCTTGTCATGCAACATGCAATAAAATACAAGTTAAAAAACAGTACATAAACGAAGATGCTTGGATTATTTCATATAAGCTGTCATACCATTCATGCATTCATTCAATTCCTTGAACTTAAGCAATTGGCATTTTAATAGTTCTTGTAGCATTATTTTACTTCGGTTTTTTATGTCTTACCTAAAGGAATAAATGAGCATTACCACTAGTTGTATCTATTGAAATGAAATCAGTTATTTTATAATTGCAAATAACAATTCCACAAAAACTCTTAATAAACGAAACTAGATTTGTACACCCACAGAAATTTTATTCAAAAATATATTCAAATTATAAATTCACTCTGAAAACCCTTTGTCACATAGAATGCCTACTCAATGTGGAGTTGAGTAGGAAGTAGTCTATTTCATTTCTGTGTATAACTATAAATACTAATAGCATTCCAAAATATGAATAATGTACTGAAAATTATTTGGTATGGGGCATAGCACGCATGCATACAAGATAACGTCGATTTGGAAATCACAACTGGAAAAAATATCTATAGCTTCATTTCATGCTGAAAACTTTACTAATAGTTTCGCACTTAATAATTGTATTCTATTTTCGTTCTAATGACGAACATACAACGTAAAAACAATAATGAAGGACTTATGCTTGTAAAAGAAAGTAAATGAGCGAAAAAAAAACCTACGATAGTGAGGGGACGACCGGCTGAAACCATAGAATAACCAACCTTAAACGTGCTGGAAGGGGAAATAATAGGTGACAAAATAATAGTATAATTTTACTCATAACCGAAAAGCAAAGGAACGTTCCTGACTATTGCGGAAAAATAACGGTATTTCCCAACTCTACTTAATGTAACCATTTAAATATAGTTACAATGGTGGTTTTATACCTTGATACTCTCATGTTTTGACATTTCATATATTTTTTCTAAGTAACTAAAATCTACCGTTGATTTACCAGCTTCAAACTCTTACCAACGAAACGTGTCAAATTTCAAAATAGGAAGTTGCTAAACAAAGTTCGCAAGTAATGCCCAAAAAGCTGCGTGATCCAGTGCTTGGCCCGCTTGCGTCATTGTGTCTGGTCGCCTGGTCAGCTGGTCACTTCCCTATGATTCAACCGTGATGCAAGGATGCTCTGTTACGTGTATGTTGGACGTGCAGGACCTACGTGCTGGGCATGGAACCCAACACTCACGTAGAATACTGAGTGTTCGTTGTGACGTCTAGCTTCTCTACAACTGGATACTTCTTACTTGTGTGATTCATCTCTGGGAGCTGGGAGTGACCTTTTCCTCTTTTACACGTTTACAGGCACAACTTTGTCCCACTGAAGCGTCCATTATTGGAGAAGAGATTTGACCCGGAAGGCAAAAGGTGTTAACCTTCCTAAAGACAGAGATCGTATGCAAGTATTTTTATTTGTAAGCTTTCCTTTGTTAATGGAATATTGGAAATAAAAAAATTACTTTCTTAAT